GGCTAGTAAATGACGAATTTCCCTTGTTTATTGAAGTCACACTCCTTCCCTATTATCTACTTCTGATATAATGTAACATGAAAAAATGCCATGTAAAAGAATGTAATAAGAAAAAATGTCATAAGAAATAACGATGTGTACAAGAAAGTAACGTGAATGAATGTAAAAGAATCCGATAAAATTATGACGTCTTGGAAATTGTACAAAGACATTAAATATCACTGCCTCCGCGCTACTGTTGCATGATACAGCAATACAAGACTGAACCTACGTCGTTCTCAGATGTGCCGCACAACCCACAGGATTTGCACTCGATGCACTGCCACCTGTATCGCTTTACTGAGATGATCATGTTTTCGTTGAACTGCAGACACGTTGGGTGACCTGCAATGCAATATAATCACACAGTATTAAAGGTGGCAACAAGGAACCTACAGTAACCTTGCTTGCCTTTCCTCTCCTTCCACCCTCTCTCTCTCTCTCTCTCTCTCTCCATCTCTTATGTGGTGTCATGCACACAAGTGCGATTTCACTTCTTCTGTCCTTCTCTCTCCTACTTCCCCCCTGCATCCTCCACCTTTTTACCACCTTCTCTTCCCTTGTCATTTGTACTCTGGTCGTGAATGCATTCCCATGCACACAAAACAGAAAAATCAATCATCCTTCGTACTCAAAGCAATGACGACAATGGGGGGCGACACGAACACTCGCATCGCATCGCACGACCCGTCGCTCAGCAGTGTTGCTGAGCAGCTACCCACCGGAACGGCCACAGTCGGAGCAGGAAACCAACTCCTCTGCCAGCAGCGTCTTCTTATTCTCGGAGGCGTCGCCCAGGCAGAAGTCGCAGTACTCGCTAAGCTGCGCCGGTCCGTTGCCCTTCTTTCCTGAAAGTAACAAACTACGTGAATGGCCCTGAAATGACAAGCAGTGGCAGCGCACTGAGTGTTGCCCGGCAACTCCTGCCTATACATACCGCCTACATTATCAATTGCAATTCACGGCAAGCTACTCTTCTGAAACGATAACGGCTACTGCCCCCCGATTTTTACGGTCCACTCATACTGGAAGGTGTTAAAGTACTACTGCCTGTTCAACGTTGAATTTCTGAAGCATAAGAAAGAAGGTACCGTACCAGGATTAAACAACCTAGGTTCGATATGCAATCAGATTACCTGCTGTTGCAAGTAATAATTAACCAAGCTAGTTTTGTGTGTATCCCTTGGTATTTAGTGAAGTAATGGTAGTAGCAACAGTTAAATAGGTGAACTAAGATGAGCACTGACTAAAAGTACTAGAAGTAAACTAAACATTATGCAATTTATACATACATAAATATATACGGAAGATTTTCCGATTTTAAACAAGGGTTATGCTCTCAAAATCCTTTACGTACGTTGACATTTACAAGCTTTCAAGCACACCCAGGAAAAAAATTAGCAGATTATTAGGAGAAAATTAGTAAGATCAAAATTTGAAAAAAAAAACGGGACAAAAATAGAATTTTGCTGGAAAAATTAGGATAAAAAGTAGGACTTATGCAGGCTTTCAGCAGTAGTTTTTACTCATACTTACAAATATCCACAGAACCATAAGTCTCATATGACATGTTCTTTACTCACAACACTTTGTGCTCCATCCTAATCTGCAGTGACTATTCACTACCCCTGCACCCAAGCCCTTCTCTTTGTGATTTACATATGACACAGTGTAACATCGTCATCAAGAATATTAAATGACTCTGAGCATTCCTTTTACAGTATTTTGGGACAAAAAATTAGGGAAAAAACTAAGAAAAAGTAGGAAAAAGTAGGAATTTCAGAGAAAATTAGGAGCAAAGACAAAAAAG